TGTAAAATAAATTTGTTTCCTTCGTGAGCCGTGTAAAAAAAATCTATTAAATTAACGATTTGTTATTAACAATTTAGTTAAAACAAATGGTCTTTTTTTTACTTTATTGGCTTTTCAAACTGCACTAAAATTTTCTTCTGCAAAATGTGAAACTACGGAAAAAAAATTAATTGTAAATTATGTATTATTTTTTCAAAATTTTCATTTTTGTTCTTCTTAAATGAGACATCGTCGCAATCTAGAGGAAGTTTCGTCAATATTAAAAAGAATCGAAAAACGCCAACGTAGAAAATTTGCAAAATAAATTTGTTTCCGTCGTGGGTAGTGTAAAAAAAATCTATTGAATTAACGATTTGTTATTAACAATTTAGTTAAAAAAATGGTCTTTTTTTTTACTTTATCGACTTTTCGAACTGCACTAAAGTTTTCTTCTGCAAAAAGTCAAATTACGGAAAAAAATTTAATTGTAAAATATGTATTATTTTTTCAAAATTTTCATTTTTATTTTTCCTAAATGAGACACCGTCGCAATCTAGAAAGAGTTTCGAGAATTTTAAAAAGAATTGAAAAGCGCCAACGTAGAAATTTTGCAAAATAAATTTGTTGGCTTTGTGGGCCGTGTAAAAATTTTCTATTAAATTAACGATTTCTTATTAACAATTTAGTTAAAAAAATGTCTTTTTTTACTTAACCGGCTTTTCGAACTGCACTAAAGTTTTCTTCTGTAAAATGTAAAACTACGGAAAAAATTAATTGTAAATATAAATTATTTTTTCAAAATTTCCATTTTAATTTTTCCTAAATGAGACTGTCGCAATCCAGACGAAATTTCGAGAATATTAAATCAAAAAGCGCCAACGTAAAAATTTGCAAAATAAATTTGTTCCCTTCGTGGGCCGTGTAAAACCTACCTTTATACCACTGATTTCTCTCTTCCACTGACAACGCCATGAAAACCAGCGAAACCACCGGCCAACATTGTGCCAAAACCTCAACTTTCATGACAAAAGACAGGTCCGTACTAGCAACATTCACCCCAATTTCCGACGACAACGGTTCCAAAACCACTTTCTTCCTCGAATTTGGTATTTTCAAATCCACCGAATTTGTTAAACTTTTCTTATCTTTTGTCGAATAAATATTCAATTTCGAGTCAGTCAGACACGCATATCGTTTCTCCCAAGTGTTATTTTTACTAAAAAAAACAAAACCCCATAAAACTTAATTAAACAAAGTGTTAATTAATCACTCACGTTAATAATTTAATCCATCCTTCAAAAATGACAACATTTGAGTCACTTTTAGGACTTTTGACAGATGTATGAGGCATGCCACATGTACTTTTGACAGAATTGACACAATTGTGATGTACGGTGACATGACATTCAGTACATATGCTTACATCACGGCCAACCATGATTTGGTTAGCACAATGGTCACAACGTGATATTTTTTTACATAGTTTTTGTACGAATTTGTGAGATAAAATTTCAAACGATTTTGTCAATATTTCAGTTTTAGGTGACACGATTTCTGATTTGTGACGTTGCAGTTTTGTGATTGGTGTCCGACAAGTAAGTTCCGCCTTCAATTTGTTAATTTCTTCCTGTAGGTTTTTATTGATTTGCTTTTGTTTCATTAATTGACCTTCTAGATCTTTATTCATCGGTAGGACTAAAGGTTGGATGTTTTCTTTTTTCGATGATCCGAACAATTTATCCGTCAGAGTTCTTTTCTTGTTATTATGTTCGTCAATCTGTTAAATAAAAAAAACGTATTTCGTAAGGCAAGTTTTGTAATAAAATTTTGCGCGTTTTACGTACTTTTTTAACATAAAAATCAATTTTTCAAAATTTAGGAACTTTTGCCCTAATAAGGTGTTGGTTGGTAATAAATGTCACAAAGTTTGAAGAATTCGATTTTCGAAGTGTCAAGTTTAAAAAATTTTCCAAAATTTTGTTGAATTAACAATGAATACTATGCAAAACGCCGCTGAAAATCACAATTACCAACTTCTAGAAAATAAATTGTACTAGTTTATTTCAGCATCCAAATTGGTGTTAAAATGGCTCATTAAAGCATCGGTTTTGGTATCGAAATAAGCTTTCTTTCAGATGCAAAAAACTCAAATGAGTGTTTTAATAGGAGAAAACTTACCTTAACTTGCAAATACTCGATTAGTTTTGTTTGTTGCTTGATAATTGACTCATTCTTCATTTCTCTTTCCTCGTAGTAGTTTATTTTTCCGTTGAGGACTCTCTCCAACTCCTCAACTTGTTCGATTAGTACATTTCTGGACTCTTTCAAATCCTGAATTTGTTGTTTAAGTTTAAAATTCGACTCTTTGAGGCCGGCCATTTGTGTTAAATATTGCGAAATCTCCTCTTTCAAAATATTACTTTCCGACACCAAATCCTCAATTTGCCTCTCATACGACTTGAGGGTAACTTCCAGATCAGAGACTTTTTCCTCTGAAACAGTCAATTCTTCACTCAAATTACTCGCACACTCTTTATATTTGAGGCATTGATCTTTGTACGAGTCACATTCATTATGCAACAACTCCACATCTTCAGTCAAACGTTTCACTTTAGTTTCGGCCAATAATCGTAGCGATTTTTCTTCATTGGTGGCTTTTTTTGCCTCTTGAATTTCTTCCTTAGCTTTGCACAAATCCTTGATTAGTTTTTCTGTATTTTCGGCAAGATTTGACTTTTCAGCCTGAATCGAAGAATTGATCTTCTCGTATTCGATGACTTGATTTTCGATGATGAGGCAAGCCTCACGTAAGGCTTCTAGATTCGTTTGGGCGTTCTCTAATTGCCTCTTTGTCTCGTTAACCTCCCCCGACAATTTCTTATTCTCGTTTATGATATCTTCAAATTCTTTTGCCTTCTTCTGGTTAGATTCTACCAACTTGTTATTTTTTTCTTCCAAGGTTACGAAATCTTCTCTGAGGGACTGCATTTTTGAGCGAATTTTGGAAATAGTTTCGTCTTTTTCCTTAATGGTGTCTTTGAGTTGGACTATTAGTAATTTCTCTTCCTCATTTCTGTGTTTCTCAAATTCGTACTTTTCCTCCAAGTTTTTGAACGATTCTTTGACTTTGATCATCTCCAAAGATAAATTCTCATTGATGTTGCTCAATTCCAACATGGCGGTTGAGTGAATTTTCTTATTGTCTTCGATTTTGTCTTTCAAAATTTTTATTTCTTCGCTCAAATTTTTTATTTCATTTTGTGCATCTTTAAGTTCTCGTTCGACTATTCGCTTGTCGATTTTCGCATTGCCTAACTCTTTCTCCATTTTCCACATTTTCACTCTCAACTCTTTCAATTGTTGACTCTCATCTATCAGATTTTCCGAATTTTCCAATTCTTTCTTCAGTGTGACAGATTTTTGTTCCTCCTCTTGCAACTTACTCTCTAATTCGTTTATTTTTCTCTCATTTTGGGTTTTAGTATCTTTTAATACGTTGATATGATTCTTATACTCCTCAATACTCTTATTCTCCTCCTTGAGTAACAAATTCGCATTTTCCAAATCACGGATTTTCTCCTTAAAATCATCAATTTCCCGAACCAAAGTATTGATTTTAATTTTGAAATTTTCAGATTTTTGAAACTCTCGTTCTAAATCGTTCACTTTCTGTCCTAGTTCTTTAACGAGTTTTTCGGCCTCTAGTGCTGCTCCATTTAGAACAGAGTAATCCTCACTAGATTTCGACAATTTTTTCCTCAATTCCTCCTCACTGTCCCTCAATTTTTCAATCTCAAATTCCAATTCCTTCTTTTGCTTGATGGTTTCGTCCAGAGTGACTTGAAGATTTATAATTTTGTGTTTTGAATCTAAAGCAACTTTCTCTATTCGTGATTCAAGGCCTACTAGACTTCGTCGATTTAATTGTTCGACTGCTTGTATCGATTCTTTATGTTTGTTTTCCATTTTGAAAGCTTTTTGTAATTGTTCGTTTAACATTTTGTTGGTGGTTTCGAGTTGAGTGATTTTTTCTTTCTGTTGCTCTATTTCTAGTTTAAACGATTCGATTTTGTTACGTTCGGAGGTCTCCCACTTGATTTTTGCCGATTTTATCAAATCTAGGGCTTTGCGTTCGAGTTCGGCGCGGTCTTTGCGCTCGATTTCCAGCGTTCTTTTCAATGCCTAAGAAGGGAAATAAATAAAATAGAAAATACTGCAAAAAAATAAAAAAAAAGGGGAATATAACTTTTAATAAATAATAAAAACAATAAATTAGTGAAACAAATCACTTAAATTTGTTTGTTTAGAAAAATAAATAATAAGGACCAATAAATAAATTAACCAATAAAACGAATTATTGAAAATAG